CTCCAACTTATTCACTCCACAAACCGTGAAAGCCAAAGCTCATTCAGTCCTAGTTTGGCCAATGCCTTCAGGGCACAAAGGGCCCTGGCGCCCTGCTCACCCCCTGGAGTCTGCTTTCACTGAGATTCTCATCTCCCCATTCCTTCCTTGCCTTGTCAGCTCTTCAATACTTTGAAAATGATTTTTTTTTTCAAATTCTATCCAGCACTTTTTGTTGTTGTTTTTAGCTGGAGCAGGCAGAGACCACCATATTACCAAAAATGGAAATCCCTTCTGAAGAGGTTCAGATGTGTCGCTTGGGCTTGTGAATTATTTTGAGCTGAAAGCAACCGAGACCCTGTGGGCTCACCAGACGCGTTTACCTCTCCCTTAAACAACTTAAATTAGGGGCCTCGTCCCTGCTAAGAGTTATCACCAACAATTACTTCTATGACCCATCTAAATGGCAGTGCAAACATCTAATTACTGAACACCTGCTGTTTTTATCGTCCCACCTATGACCCTCCCTACCTTTAAAGCCCCAAGGCACCTTACCTCACTCATCCTTAGCTCAGAACGTCATATGTGCCTCAATTTAACTTTCTGTTTCTGAACCGTTTATGTATGTGGGGTTCCCATATATACATATGTAATTAAATTTGGCTATTTTCTCTTGTTAATCTATCTCACGTCGATTTAATTATTAGACCAGCTGGGAGAACCTAGAAGGACAGAAGAAGGTGTTTCCTTCCCCTCACTTTATGTCACTTCTTCATTCCCTCCCTCATCTTTGAGCCTGAGATACCTCTCCCTATTTCACAAAAAGAGAACCCAGGACCCAGACGAGTGTGGGAAGGGTAGGAGGTGGTCAGCTCCCAGCCAGAGAAATAACAACACCTTGAGGTCACCCCGGGCCCCCAGTGCCAAACCTCACCTGTGCCATCTTCTCCTTGAAGACCCAGTCCCTCTGGGTGAGGAGAGCAAGGAACAGGGAGGGAAGGGCGGGCTGTGGTTAGCCCTGTTTTATAGGCAAGGAATTATGGGGAGTAGGGCACAGAAGTGAGGGCCAGAGTGGAGCAGCAATTATCTCAGTTCTAGGTCAAGCACTTATTCTCATCTATGATATCCCAGCTCCACCACCAGTCACCTCCCGGAAGCAGGTCATCCCCCCACCATGGGCCTCATTTTCGTCACCTGTCAATCATTGAGGATAACAATGGTAACCACTTCCTAGGATTGGGTGGGGCTTCAATGAGTTAAAACCTACAAAACTCATAGATAAGTAGAGCTTGGCACTCCTTTTTGTGTGAGGTGTTTAAATGCCAACTTATTTAAGCCCCTGTAAGTCAGGTTCCTGTAACCTACAACTGAAGACATTCCTTACTGGTAGAGAATTTGGTAATCAGAAGCGGGATCCATGAAAAAAACAAAAAAACAAAACAAAAACTAAAAATGTGGAGTCAGACGAAGAGAGGAAAGAACAAAATATGAGGACCTAACCTCTGCAGGCTAGACAGTTGGTGACCTTGTTATGAGATGGCAAGGCACTATGCATCTGATTATGCATAATATATGGCCATCCAGGATACAACTTTAGGGGAGATGGTAGGAAAAATCAGAATGTTGATATGAACTAACTCCTAGTAGCTTTCAGCAAAGACCAACAGAGGAGGAATACACTCCAATGAGAGCTAGCCAATCTGAAAGCAGACACAGAGAGGAAACCCAGATTTGCTGAAAACACAGACCCCGCCTTAGGCCAGCATCTGACAAGACGCTCTAATAGGAAGCTTTGCCGGTTGATAAGACTAACTTATGTCTCTTAAGCAGATCCTAGTACAGCCGGTTGCCCACAGTATGAACGTCAATCCTTTGTTCTGAGATTAGATCTTCCCTTTGTTGGAATTTTCTCATTTTATGAAATGATAGTGATAGTAGATAGCATTTGCCTTTTTAAATAGCTTTGTCAAAAAAAAAAATGTTAGCCAACGATCTCTACTTTCAAATTTTTACTGGTATTTGAAATCCCAAAGTGTGGGACCTAAGGCACAGCTCTGGCCTTGGGGAGACTTCAAGAAGGACAGTCAGGGCCCAGAAGGGGATTGGGTCTAGGAGTCCCTCCGTTTCCAGCACTCCAGCTGAGCCAGCCAGGGAATCACTGAGCAATGAAAATATTACCAACAAACAAAAACATTTATTGAGTACAAAATTAAATGGGAGAGAGAGTCCTCCTGGGCCCAGGAAGCCAATAGCAGGGAGTCAAGAACTCCATTTCAATGCCGGTCCGGGGCGCCCTGGAAGAAGTCATTGCACATGACAGTGACGAGGGCCAGAAAAACAGCGTACTCCTGGAAGTCCACCTGCTGGTCACTGTTATTATCCAGGTTGCCCATCAACTTCTTCAGACCTTCCTCATCCACCTTCTCCTGGAAGCAAGAGAGAGTGGGGTCACCGCCAGACCGCTCTCCACCCAACCTCCACCTCCAACGCCACTCAGCGGTCAGAGCCCAGCTCTCTCCCTCCACACTGGGCAGCCCGGGAGCTACTAAGAGGCCCCGTGAGTGAGGACAGATGGACGCCCATTGGTGAAAGCCTCCAGCTCTCCCTGCTGGGAATGGGGAGCACGCCAGGCACTCCCTAAGCACAGGCTCAGCTCTGCTCCCCACAGGAGTCCAGCGAGGTGGGCATGATAACCCCCATTTTGCTGATGAGGAAACAAAAGCTTTTCGGAGCCATCACTCCCTATCACCAGCAAGGTGAATTCAGAAAAAGGGATTAACTCTTGTTAATACCATTCAAAACGAAACCAAGTTAGAAACACTTAACACCCCCCCAAAAAAATTGTTTAAAGGATAGAAAGACATGCCTCATATGTTCAAAGCCTGAGACCTGATTTTGGGGTTATCCCGGAGTCAGTATGGGTAGGTGAGGGGCAAATTGAGGGTTGACTGCATTTTCCTGCAAAAGTTTCAGGGTGCATGTCTTAGCTGGGCTTTTCTCTCCCAATGCACCTTAATTTGGCATATAAATATCAAAAGAGAGAGAGGGAGAGAGTGAGCGAGAGCGCTGTGTGATCTTGGGCCAGTCACTTTCCCTCGCTGGGCTCTGGTTTGCTCAACGCTCCGAGGGGATTGGACAGATGGACACTGAGGGCGCTGACAACACATCCATTTTCAGGAAAGCTACAGGCAACAGGCAGCAACAGGGCTCTCCCACCTGGGCCTCTCTTCCACTCTGGTGAGGCTGTGAAGGGCCCGGCCCCACCCTGCTATCTGCATCAGAACTCCAGAGGAGGGGAGGCGGGGAGGAGGGATTTAACCTGCACCCCCCCACGCTCACACACCAGGACCCTCCCCGCTGCAGGCGGGCCCTACTCACCCCCACAAAGCTGGGCAGTTCCTTGTGCAGAAGATCCTTCATCTCCCCCTTACTCAGCTTGAACTTGTCACCCTCTTGGCCCGAGTACTTGTGAAAGGTGGCGACCATCACAGCCAACGCCTGCTCCAGGGGGGTGGACATCTTGGATCTGGGGGCAAAGTAGTGGCAGGTGATGGAGACGCCTCAGCCCTGCCTGCAGGATGCACTTCTGCCCTCGTGCCCCAACCGCCTCTCCAGAGCCCTGTCTGAACGGGCAGGGAGGGACTGCAGGTCTCCTGCAGAACGGGGCTCCCTGGGCAGGGCCCGCACCGCCACCGCACCCTCACACAGATGCTGGGCCTTTCCCTGTGTTTGGAAGTCACCGAGGGCAGGGCCTCATGTCTCCTCTGATCACACTTGGGGCACACCCCTGAGGGCAGGGCTCCCGCTTCGAGTGTCTGTGGGAAGGGTGACCCGGGGTTCATTTGGCTCCTGTCCAAGCCAGCGGACCCTGTGCCAGCACTAGGGCAACAGGCATCTCCACGGGCTCTTTAGTGGGGGCTCACTGGGCTTTGTCTGTAACCATGGCTATAGCCTAGGGGTACAGGATTCCCTGAAGAGTCCTTTCCCTCCTCACCCTTCCTCACACGGATTCCTAAGGCCAGAGGGTGTCACTCTCCCATCTAACTGGACGCTCGCTCACGCAAGGATGTTTCCTCCCTCAGACTAGGGGCTCTCGGGAGGGTGGGGAATCTATGTCCCCTCACAGTGGAGGCCCCTGAGCGGGGGGGGGGGCAGGAAAAACCCCGGGCCCATCCTGCCAGCCCTGCCTCGACGGGGTGGGAGAAGACGGGGAATGGTGTGGACAGTGGGCCCCCTGCTCGGGCCGGGCAGAGGCCTAGTAGCCTGCACACTCAGATCCCTGGCTCTGGCCCTTAGTCCTGCCAGAATCCAGGACTTTGCAAAAAAACAAAAACCAACACCAAACAAACTCAGAATTCCGTTAAAGCAACCCCGCCCCACCACACACACACACACACACACACACACACACCCCTCCTACAACTAGGCCCAGACCCCCAAGAAGAGCCTCTAGACTGAGACACCCACACTGAGAGCCCCCAGACTGAGACCCAAGAGAGGGCCTCAGAGTAACCCCTAAACTGAGATCCCACAGAGGAACTGGGAAAAACCCCTCAAACTGATACTTCACAGAAGCTCCCCGCAAATGGGAAAGACCCAGAGAGGCCCCAGGCTGATCCTCCAAGGAAGAGAAAACTTTGGAAAGAAAATCAGGACAAAGAGACACGGGCAGAAACCCATGAGAGCGCGCTCCACCCC